AATTTAAGAGTGTTGTTGCTGCAATTTACAATCTAAGTGAAGAAGTGAGGATAATGGAGAACAATGATACTGATGCTGCTGTATGTTTATATGTTTTTTTGTTCGAGTCCAGGACAAGTGTGTTGGCCATTTAATTGGTAATGGCTGTGTTAATAAATGAATTAAGGGTATTAAAGTAAATGTAATTTAATTAGAGCGACGAATAAGGAATTTTAGGGCGACGAATAGCAATGCCCTTATTTAATATTCAATAGTACTAATTAGACACTAAATACACATTGCACATAATTAAAAAAAATGTTATATAAAACCGATGATGATAACGTACATAGGAGTGGCAGGCTGCTTCCAGACCATAGTCTCTTCTATTCCCTTTGATATGTATAAATTGGAGGACTAGTCACTTAGTTTTGGCCTCATCCTTACCGGAGACACTAACATATACGTCGTATTGTGCAGGTTACACTTCCTGCTCTCTCTTAACTCCTCCATATTTTAGGTTGAGTCGAGGCTTAATCGGAATCTAGTTAAGTGTAATGGAACCATTTTAAGAGAAAACTAACGTTGGAAGATTGGTCTCATAAGTTATGAGTATCATATCGTTCCAATAAACCGGATCTCGTGTTCTTCTCGGAGACGCGATCGAGCCGGCGTGTAGTTACCCGCCGTATGCGGGGGTTAGGTTTTGATTCTTCTTGTTGTTTCTTTGTTGATGCGTTTGAGGCATCTGGAGGTTTAGTTGTTGCTTGGTCCCCCGAAGTTGATGCTTCGGTGTTTTTCCATTCAAATTTTTGTATTTGCACGCAAGTTAATGAAGTGGATTTCTCTTATGTGGTGGTTTCCGTTTACATTAGTTGTAATCTTGCTCTTCGTGGCTCTCAATTGGCCCAGTTACAAGAGATTTGTGAGAACATTCACCTCCCGTACACTGTCATTGGAGATTTCAACACTACTCTTCTTGAGAGTGAGAAGGATGGTGGTCTTCCTTGGAATGCTGTCCAATCTAGTAGTCTGCGCGACTTTGTCCATAACCTTGGTCTCCATGACCCGGGGTTTCAGGGTGACCAATTCACTTGGACAAATAGACGGATGGGGGCTGCCTGTATTCGGGAACGCTTGGATCGTGCTCTTTGCTCCCATACTTGGATTGATCGATTCCCGGATACCTTGGTAAAGCACTTCACGGACCAGGGTTCGGACCATCGTGCCCTCCTCCTTTCAGACAAGGCCTATACCAGAAATAGCCGGCCCCTTTTTCGATTTGATGCCCGTTGGGCTGATAATCCTGAAGTACGGGCTATGGTTAATTATGTTTGGCAGGAGGAAGTCCAAGGGACTCCCATGTTTTGACTATGGGAGCGACTCAAACGACTTCGTCACCTCCTATATGATTGGAGTAGGGCAGGCACTACAAATTCCCTTCGGAATATCAAAACTCTCCAGGCGGAGATTGAGCGGGTTAAGTTGACTCATCCAATTGATTGGAATGAGGTTAGAACTCTTGAGATTGAGCTTAATCGTCAATGGGAGGCAGAAGAAATATATTGGCAACAAAAGTCCAGGGTCCGGTGGCTGAAGAAGGGATATCAAAATTCCTCCTATTTCCATACGGTTACGCGTGCTAGGAGAAAGCGGAATTTTGTTGCGGGTCTCCGTAGTGATACTGGTGACTGGGTAACTGAGGAGCCGGCCAAAGCAGCCATTGCCACGGATTTTTACCAATCGCTCTTCACTTCTGAACATCAATCACCTAATATGGAGGAGCGAATCGCCAATCTCCCCATTTCACACAGTGTTACTCCTGAAATGAACGCTGATTTGACGGCTGAGGTCTTACCCAGTGAAATCCGGAAAACGGTGTTTTCCATGGGGTCTAAACAAGCTCCGGGGTCTGATGGGTTTACCGGGAAATTTTTTAAGGCTTTTTGGGATGTTGTTGGGGATTCGGTGATTGCAGCAGTCGTTTCTTTCTTTGAGACAAGCCGAATGCTCAAAAGTTTCAATCACACTTGGATGACCTTAATTCCCAAAGTGGATAATGTGGAGACTATGCGACAACTACGCCCGATCAGTCTGTGCCAATTTGTTTACAAAATTATAACAAAGATCATGGCTGAAAGGCTGGCGACCATCCTTCCCCATATCATTTCTGAGGGACAAAATGGTTTTATCCGTGATCGTCAGATAATTGATAATATCCTCCTGGGACATGAGTTGATGCATTACTTAAAAATCAAAACTCGGGGCAAGAAAGGGTACATGGCTCTAAAGGTTGACATGGAAAAGGCCTATGATGGAGTCGAATGGCCCTTTCTCCTCGCAGTGATGAATAAGATGGGCTTTAACTCTGTTTGGCAAGGGTGGATTCTTGAGTGCCTCCGCTCATCCTCTTTCTCTGTGCTCATGAATGGAACCCCTTCTGGTTATTTTAAACCGTCTAGGGGGCTAAGGCAGGGGGATCCTCTGTCCCCACTGTTGTTTGTTATATGCACGGAAGGGTTTACGGCTCTTTTGAGAAAGGCAATTACGGAAGAGAAGCTTCAAGGAGTTAAAGTGGCTCCTCGTGCCCCCAGAATCTCTCATTTATTCTTCGCGGATGATTCTTATTTATTTCTAAGGGGCACCCTTCAGGAATGTGAGAATCTGATTGTGGTCTTAAATGAGTATGAGGAATTAAGCGGTCAACGAGTAAACCTGGCAAAATCAGCAGTCTGCTTTAGCAAAAACATTGCGCTGCCTGATCAGGACTTCATGGCTACAATTCTGGGGGTTGGTGCAGTGGGCGTCCATGATAAATACCTAGGACTTCCCACACTCTTTGCTCGATCAAAAATGGCTACATTCCGATACTTGGAAGAGAAGTTATTAGAAAAGCTACAAGGTTGGAAGCAGAAGACGTTATCCTGGGCTGCCAAGGAGACCCTCATCAAGTCTGTTGCTTTGGCTTTACCCTTGCATATCATGTCTTGCTTCAGATTGCCATTGTCTCTGTGTCGCCTCCTAGATAAGCATGTGGCTCGATTCTGGTGGGGGGCGGCTGACGGACATTCTAAGATTCGCTGGGTCTCCTGGCGTCATATGTGCAGGAGCAAGCATGATGGGGGAATGGGATTTCGTCGATTTGAGCAGTTTAATCAGGCTCTGTTAGCCAAAATCGGATGGCGTATCCTTACTGATCCCCAGTCCCTTCTGGCTCAAGTGTACAAAGGGAAATACTTCCCCACTGGGACCTTTCTTGGTGCTACTGCCCGATCACGGCCTTCCTGGGGATGGCAGAGTATCCTCTTTGGGCGCCAGTTATTGGAAAAGGGATTGCGATGGCAAATCGGTAATGGCCAGTCGGTTTCTCTGTTAAATTCCAACTGGATCCCCCAGTTTCAGCTGGATCCCCTGCAGTATAACCCCTGCATCTTACCTGAAGGGGGAGACCCATTAGTAGCTGACGTTATTTGCCTGGGGGAAGGTCGGTGGTGTGACCACAAACTTGCTCACTGGTTTGATCCTCCTACGTGTCGAGCCATTAAAACTATTCCTCTTCCACGGCTGCATATGGAGGACAAGTTGATCTGGCATGAGTCAGCGGATGGATTATTTTCGGTCAAATCGGCCTATCATCTGGCTGTTACTCTTGATAAAAGGCGGGGTGGTTGGAAATCTTCTGTCAGTTGGATGGATAAAACAAGTTGGATTCGTCTCTGGGAGGCTAATATTCCCCCGAAACTGAAGGTGTTTGTCTGGCAGATCCTCTCCCTGGCCCTACCAACTACTGAGGCCCTCATTGAACGTAAAGTTCCGGTTCACCCCCGTTGTCCGGTTTGCTGGGATAGTTCAGAATCTTTGGAACATCTGTTCCTTTATTGCCCAGTGGCTCGGGCCCTCTGGGATTACGCAGGGTTGGATTATCTGGGTGAGGGATTGCCTCGTCAAAATTTTCCTTTGTTCCTTAAAAAGCTCTTGGGATTGATCAATCAGCCATCTATGTTTATGGCGGTAGTTGCCATCCTCTGGCGGATCTGGCGGTCTCGTAACTGGGTGGTATTTGAAGGGAAACAATTTGGGGTCCATGTGTTGATGCGCCAGTTCACTCAGCAATATGAGGAATGGATGCGGTTGCCTGCCCGCCCCATGGTGCAAGTCCCTTCCTCTAGCCCCAATTTACTGACGGTTGATGATGACCCGCGTATGATCTGTCGGTGGGACGGGGCCACTAGGAGGGGGTCTCATTCGACGGGGGGAATGGTTCTTGTATATCCTACTGGGGGTTAGTGTGGCTGCGGGTGTGCAGTTCCCAGTTATTGATGATCCAATGGTTGTGGAGCTGTTGGTGCTTAGGGAGGCGGTGCTTTGGTGTCGCGGGTTAGGCCTTACTGAGGTGAGGTTTGAAGGCGATGCCAAAGTCATTATTGATAAGCTCAATCGGGGGGACCTTGGCGATAATAGGATGGGTGTTGTTCTTCAAGAGGTTTATAGTTGTCTCCAGGCCCAGGCAGATTATAGTGTTCGGTTCGTAGGTCGGCGTAGTAATAGGGTAGCCCATATGGTGGCTAGAAAAGCCCTTTCTTTGTACCCAACCAGTAGCCGTTCCTTTGATTTTCAGACCTGGCTGAATTCCAGGGTGTAATTGTCTATCTTTCGAATCAATATAAGATTATCTTTTGTCAAAAAAAAAAAAATCATATCGGTTGCCGGTTGGAACTATCCTCACTGAAAAAAATCTAATTTAGGGACTTGGATGAGAAAGACTATATAGTTAAGGGACCAAAATGTCACTTAACTGTAAAATAAGGACAGCGCGTATAGTTCGCGGATGTGGAAGACAATCGCTGGTAATAAAAGTAAAAGGTGTCGGTGTCATCTTTTTGACAATTGTTTGTTAGTCCCCCCTTTCTTCGGCCAACTAAATTTTCTATTGCTTTAATCGCTACTTTGGATCAATACACATTTTACCATAGCCGTAGCTTCCAAAACATGTTATATAAAAAGGGTCAATTACCATAAACGGCCACTAAATAGGAAAGATGACAAACAAGTCAATAAGTCTCGACTTTTAACAAACTTATTGAGAGGTTTTGAAATAATTATCATGGCACTAGTTTCGTCCAAATTAATGTTTCGAGTCATCTAAATCAATAAGGAAATGACCATATAGAGTCACAGACCATATTAAGTTGATATGGTTGCTCATTTGAGCCTAAACTTCAATGCAAACCAATTTGAATGAACTGACACTTTAGAAAATGAAAGAGATGACGAATGATTGGTAAAATTGACTTTATCTTTTGTTTTTATCATAAATAACATTAAAGACTGAACACATTGTGAATATAACAATTTATCATACGGGTAGTAAGTAGGTACGAGCGGATTATTTACATATAATACTATTTACGGGAATTAAACAAACAATGAATCCATGATGCCATCTCCGCAACATGAGGTGCTCGATGGTTCTTTTGATCGAAGAGCAAAATGCGTTAACAATCTTGTTCTAGATGGTCCATACTGTATTCTTCCTCGAGCCAGTGTACCACTACCTAAATATCGCTTTATAATCCACCATGCTCATGTAGCCACCTCTTACACCCTCACACCACAATAGATCTTTCTCATTTACAAGAGCTTAAGCATGTAGGTTACCAAAGTTACAATTCAAAACTCAAACTAACGAAGAATTGCTCTAAAACTTGTAGTATCAACTGTCATAGAGTGACCCTAGTCTAACCACAATCACTACATCTCCAGTCGTGGAGGCAGATAGACCAAACTTGCGTCTGATCGTATCAGAGAGTTGCTACCATGTTAGTCATTCCAGAACTCAAGGGGCGGTCAATATGAAAATCAAAAGTTCAGACCACCATTTCTTCATGACCCTAAACTTTAAGGGTACCTTTTGTAATTGTCCCTGAGAAATGAAGGCACTACTTATACATTACACGCCTTCCCAATTCCCATCCCAAGTCCAAATAACAATTTACCAATACAATCCCAAACGTAGCAATCCCTCTCTTTTTTTAACACACGCTCTTCTCCACTTCCATCGCTTTCTTTCCCTCTCCGCTCCTTCATTTCTCCCCGCTTTCTCTCCCAATTCAACCAAAAACCAGATCACCCCCAGCAATCACCATGGCCGGAATCGGCGCAACCGCCGTCGCCCTCCTCCTAACAATCACCGCCCTCCTCTCCCCCGCCGCCGCCGCGGCGAAATCCAGGACATTGTACGAGATCGCCTGCGAAATGTGCAACACCTGCTGCGGAACCACTCCGACCCCGTCACTGCCGCCACCTTCCCCTCCTCCGCCGTCCCCACCACCGCCGGCGACAACACTCTGCCCCCCGCCGCCCACCTCGCCGTCATCGTCCGGCGGATCGTACTACTACTCCCCTCCGCCGCCGTCCTCCGGCTACTACCCACCGCCGGCGAAGGGAGGCGGCGGCATCGGCGGCACATACAACTACCCGCCGCCGACGTACAAGAACTACCCCGGTCCGCCGCCGCCGAACCCGATCGTCCCTTACTTCCCTTTCTACTACTACAGCCCGCCGCCGCCCGGCAACTCTGCCGCCGGCTTGATCATCAGCTCCCCTTTGCTCCTCCTCTCTGTTCTGCTCTGTTTCCTCATTCAGACATAGAAACAGGGGAAGGGTAAAAATTGATTGGAAATTTTACTCGAGTTAGCGGAATAATTCACCAGGGTTGGCCAGATCTGAGTGGGAGAGCTTCAGCCATGGGAGAAAGAAACGGAAGGGAAATGGCATTGGAGACAACGGAGATTCCAATTCCCGAAGGTGGCGCGGAATCCATGGCGGGATTTGTGGTGAGGAAAAAAAAATGAGCTGTAACAGGGGGAGCTTCCTCTGCATCTGGTAATCTGCTGAACAATTAAAAAAAAAACGTATTTGTATCTTACTAGGGATTTTATAGAAATATTTTCGTTAATTTTCAGGATCTTTATGTTTTAAAATTTGCAATTTGTATGTATGATGGATTTGGGAGAATGACAAGTAATTAGTTTCTAATTAGTACCCAATTTTTGCCCCCTGATAAATAATCTCCCGAATTAGATGTTTTCAATAGCACTTTTTGCTATGTTCTTGATTAATTAATCGATAATGTAATGGGAAATGATGAGTGGGATTAGTGTGTTCTAATTGAAGTGAGAGTGTCGGTAGTGGGCAGGTTCGTTGGTTTCTGGTTCTGGTCAGTCCGGTTGTTAGCTGTTTTACGGTTTGATAGGAATGAATTTTATGGGTGAAGTTTGGTAATTTGATCGTTTATGTTGGTCCCCTTTTTTTTAGAGTGCGATAAATGGTTGTGTTACTCATATGAACATATATCTAAATGCTCTTTTGTCATTTTTTTTATAAGAGCGATATCAACGTTAAAATTTCAACGGTAAATTCGTAGCATATCTTTCGACTGTAAGAATGTACCGAACTAACCTCATCGGATTAGGTCATTGATGAGAGAAATTAGAAGAGGAGGGTCACCTTGATTCTCAAGAAAAGAAAAGGAGCTAAGCTAGAATTTAGAAGTTGTGTTAAAGTGTCATAAAAGAGCTGAATTGCTATTCGCCGCCCTAAAATTTAAATTTTTATCGCCCTAAACCGTACCAAATGACACATACACCCCTCTCCCCAATTTAAACATAAACCCTAGAAACAAACAATCTCTCTCCAAGCCTACCCAAAACTCTCCCGCCGGCATACCCACATCCCTCCCGCCGCCTACCCACAATCCCTCCCTCTGCCGCCTAACCCACCTCCCTTGACATTCATTTTTAGTCTAGGACCTTAGATGCCAAATGCAATACTCAGATGGTGATTCCCCGGCTCTCTGAAAACTATGGTCCTTCTCAAGATCTGCTTGAGAAACAAGCACCAATGTGCAGAGTGCATTCGAAGCCCAGAACTCTCCCGGCGTTGGACGGAGGACGAAGAAGGAAGAAGGAGGTCGGAGCCGCAGCCGTTGTCACCGTCAATTCGCTCCACGTGTTCGCTGTCAACTAGGAGGAAGAGGGGAGTTCAGAGTCGTTGTTGCTCCCACCAACCCCTGCGGAGAAGAAGGAAAGGAGATGACGACCACCATCGATCCGACGTGCCCAGGAATTTTTCTTTTCTTGGCCGGACGGGTTGAAAACCCGTCGCCGGCGAGCTTAGACTTAGAATTTATATTAAATTAATTATTAAATGAGTTTATTTTGGGATTTAACTTTTAAGTGTTTAAAAAACAAATAAATTAACTAAGGGTATTAAAGTAAATTTATCTTAGTTAGGGCGACGAATAAGAAATTTTAGGGCGACGAATAGCAATGCCCTAAAAGAGTGGGGCGAAGAAGGATGTAGTAGAGTAGTGATCTTACTTCTTCGGTACATATTGTCTTGCATCATCAATATGACAGCTAGAAAGAAGGTGAAAGCGGGTTTATGACTCAGCTTCCCGCCGCCGGGTGCTTCCGGTCAAACAAGGTGTCGCCGCCGTTACGCTTGCACTTTGTTACCCATTTTGATGAAAGCCCTCTATTTTCTACCATGGTGGTGGGATCTCGAGGAAATGGCTTGTTACGTTGGCATCACGCCAACCCATTTCCACCCTAATCTATGTGTGTGGGTAACGGATAGAGTGATCAAACAATAAAAGAGATAATAGTTTTTCAAACCTTAACTATAATTCAAGAGTATCTCTATCATAGGCCCGATACTACTGATTTTAATCGACTCGCGTTGCCTGTAGCATTTCTTGGACTCTGTTGGTTGAAGTGCATCCGAAAATCCAATAAAAATTCAGACAATCGATTATCAAAACAATCGAACTCGAGAACCTCTTCTTTCTTGAGTCTTGACAATTTTGGCTCGAATCGTATTGGTAATAGTTCAACGAAGAGCAACGATTATCAGTTCGTTAGTATGCTAACTGTGCGAACACAGACTTGATGTAGTGAAATTGTCGTTGGTCTTTAACTTTAGAAGTTCAAGGTTTGAATCCTCAATGCAACTCTTTGATTTTCCATCTTAATCACCTTTTGCCAACTATTTGATGTCACTAATTAGAATACTAATATCTTGTTTGGGGCCCAGCTGCTGCATTGACCAAATGGGCAAATCCTGATCAATTATACAACTCATATGCTCTCTGGCTGGCATGACAAAGCGATTGGGTTTGCCTAGAGCAATGTGCCCTCTGCTTTCATGACACCCAAACCCTAAATTTTCCTTTTGCAATCTGTTCCTTGCTTTTTTTTTGACAAAGTGTACCAACTTTTATTCCACCATTCAACTGAAAGATGAGAAACTCGGTTACAATTCTTTAAAGAAGATCAGAAATGAGATCAAGAATATTAATCCAATCATCAGGCAGAGATGCTCTAGCTTTAGACCGTGCAACCCAGTCCGCTCTGACATTAAGTGTTCTGGACACTTCTTTGATTTTGATGAGAGGGTTAGACCGCAGGATAGAAACAATCGAACTGATCCAGGCTGCACACCTCCAAGGCCATCGAGAGCGATCGTTGTCCACAGCTTTCACCAGCACCTGGCAGTCGGAATGAACCGTACACTCGGATCCATATTCTTGAGCTAATTTCACTCCTTCGAGAAGGGCCTTAGTTTCCGCTTCAATTGGGGTGGAACAAAGAAGATTCTCAGCTCTCCCATCACACACTTGTCCATGGTGGTTAACAACCACAACACCATAAGCCGCCGGCTGGGAGTCGCTAATGAACGACCCATCACAGTGAATCATCAAAGACTGATTACTTGGCGGTGGACTCGTATGAGACTGGGTTCCCCTAAGCTGAGTGGGAAGGGAAGGCATGGGAGGTGGGGACCTCGGGCACGTATTCCATTCAGTGAGCTCCTTATAAGTAAGTTGACACACATTCGGGGTCCACGGGACTCGACCTTTGAAAGAGCATTCGTTCCTTGCCTTCCAAATATTCCAGCACAGGAAGATAATATGGATCAACGAGCTTTGCTGGACGACATCTTTAAGGGAGCAGAACCAGTCAAAGAACAATGTTCCTTGAGGGGGTAAAGGAAGGGATGGGAACAGCTCATTCCAAGCCACCTTGGCATGAGGGCAATGGAACAGGCAGTGATTAATCGTTTCAACGGGATTCTGACACACCTGACACGAAGAGTTGGGAGCACATTTCCTCTGGAGCAATCTCTCTTTCGTTGCTAACCCGTTCCTGGAGCATCTCCACACAAAGAATTTCAATTTCGGGGGGAGGTGGAGGCTCCAAATCCACTTCCATTTATCAGTATTCCCGCTTGGTTGAGCAATGCTGTTGGCTCTGTGGATCTTATGGTACGCAGATCTCACTGTAAATCTTCCCTCCTCATTGAAGTTCCATGCCCAAAAGTCATCTGCTCCCTCCTCCCCAATGGGGATCCTAAGAATAGCTTCAAGTTCTGAGCCAGAAACATGTCCACTGATAACATCCATCTTCCATTTCCTTTCTCCCGGGTCAATCCACTCGTTGACCTTCCGATGATTCTGTGGGCCAGTTCTGAGAGTGAAGCCATCCAAAAAGGGGATCCATGGGTCTTGATCGACCCACGAATCTTCACCTGAACCAATCACTCTAACTGCACCCAAGCCAATCACTTTTTTTGCCTCCCAGAGACTCGCCCAAATCCACGACGCTCTGCTTCCCTTTTTAGCGTTCAGAAAATCACCTCTGGGGAAGTACAACCCTTTAAGGAGCCTGCTCCACAAAGAATCAGGGGTTGTGAGGAGTCGCCAGGCCTGCTTAGCCAGCAGGGCAAGGTTAAAATCATTGAAGCTTCTGAAGCCCAAGCCTCCCTCTGACTTAGGCATACAAAGAATCTCTTTCCTACACCAATGGAGACTACTTTTTTGCATAGACCCTGACCAAAAGAAGTTACTGAGGAGAGAGTCCATTTTCTTGGTAAGGGCTTTTGGGAGATAGAACAAGAACATGATAAAAGATGGAATAGCTTGAATAACCGCCTTCAGAAGGATTTCTTTTCCACCATGAGAGAGAAGGAGACTTTTCCATGCTTCACCCATTTTTTCCATCCTTTGAATGAGGAACTTAAAAGTTTCCTTCTTCGAATTTCCCCACTCCGTCGGGACTCCAAGATACTTTGAGTGGCAATTCGAGGAAGCAAAGCCAATGCTCGCAATGATATGATCTTTGACATCTCCGGGAACATTAGCACTAAAGAACACTGAAGATTTGTTAATATTAACTTCTTGACCTGTGATTGCTCCATACTCCCCAATGATATCAATAATATTCTGCGCTTCTTGAAAATCTGCTTTCCCGAAAATAACCGTGTCATCAGCGAACAGGCAGTGAGTGAGCACTGGACATCTGGAATTCAGTTTAATCCCCTTCAACTTATCACTCTCCACCGCCTTGTCAATAAGGAAAGTAAGGGCGTTTGACATGAGAATGAATAGGAAAGGCGAAAGAGGGTCTCCTTGTCTAATTCCACGGGAAGGCTTGAAAGAATCAGTTGCTTCTCCATTGAACAGAATAGAGAAGCTGACCGTTCTAATGCATGCACTGACCCAACCACACCATTTATTGTCAAACCCATACTTCTTGAGAAGAGCCTCCAGACAATTCCAGTCAACCATATCGTAAGCCTTCTTCATATCCAATTTCAGCATCATATCCCTCCTTCGACCAAGCTTGTGGTTCTTGAAATGGTGAAGGGCTTCATGGACAATGATAATATTATCTTGAATAAGCCTTCCCCCAGTGAATGCTGTTTGGAGCTCAGAGACCAGCTCGGGAGTCCACCTCTTGAGACGCGTAGCCATAATCTTTGATATGATCTTGTATCTAAAATTACAGCAGCTAATAGGACGGTACTGGCTTATCAACTCAGGGTTGTCGACCTTGGGAATCATTGCAATGTGAGTTTCATTCCATCCATCTGGCATGTTAGCAGTTTCAAAGAATCCTCGAACTTCTCGACATAAGGTGTCTCCTAAGATATCCCAGTATCTCCTATAAAATCTTCCTGAGAAACCATCGGGACCCGGAGCTTTACGGGCTCCCAGGGAGAAGACAGCTTTTCTAATTTCCCCGTTAGTCACCGTAGCACAAAGATCCTCGTTCATCTCCGTAGTCACCTTTTCAGGGAATCCTTCTAACATATGGTTAAAAGGAATAGGATTCCTGGCCTTAAAAAGATCTTTGTAAAAACCTTCTGCTAGTCTTTTTAGACTATTCTCATCTTCGATCCAATTACCCTCTCCATCTTGGAGTTTCAGAATTTTGTTTCTATGCTTCCTCTGAATAGTGCTTGAATGAAAGAAAGAAGTATTTTGATCACCTTTTTGGAGCCAGTTAACTCTCGAGCATTGACTCCAGAACGCTTCTTCATCCCTCCACAACTTAGTCAGCTCGGTTGTCAAAATCTTTTCCTCCTCCACATTCTCTGTCGTTCTTGGCGGCTGTTGAAGAATTTCGAGCCTAGAGAGTATATCTTGCTCCCTTTGCATACTATTCTTATGGAATTCTTTTGCCCACTCTTTTAACTCTCTTTGACATTTGTTCAGCTGGTCAGTTGAGTGGCCTCCCGGGTCCCACGCTCGGGCTATTAACTCCTTGCATTCTTCCTTCTCCAACCATCTTTCATCAATCCTAAAGGGTGTATTCTTCCTCCTGTTACCTCGGTAGTGAAGCTCAAGTCTGATCGGGCAGTGATCAGACTCCACCATTTTCTCATGGAAGACCACTGCTTCTCCAAATTGGGCACGCCATGATGATGAGCAGAGCACCCGATCAAGTCTCACCCTCGTCAGGTTTTGGCCCGTTCTCTTATTGGTCCACGTGAAAGGCTCTCCTTTATATCCCATATCAATAAGAGCATTTTGGAATATGAATCTCTTAAAAGGTTCAACATTCTCGTACCTAAGAGGGCATCTCCCTTCCTTTTCATTTTCATAAACTGCAGCATTGAAGTCCCCTACAACCACCCAGTTATCATCCCTACTACTCCGCAGAGAGCTAAGTTGCTCCCAAAACTCCCTTCTACTAACAGCTGTAGAGGGTGCATGGACAAAAGTACAGAAAAATTTCCTACCCATATCTATACTAACATCCATGAAGTAGTTATCACTACTTAATACAGTTATATTAATACCCGCTTTCCACCATAAAGCAAAACCCCTAGAAGAGTTAATCAGTTCTACATACTCTCTATTGGGGAAAATTTTGAGACTTCTTCTTTGTTCTTCCATGAAACCCTCGTTCTTGCTAGTTTCCATAAGAAAAACAATAGACGGGCCTAAACGTCTACAGAGACGTTTCGCATAACTTCTTGTAAGGGGAGGGCCAAACCCCCTACAATTCCAACTTACAATACTCATTTAGGCTGAGGTGGCTTCTGGCGAACCACCGCTGCCCTTGCATCATCATCCAGATTCTCCCCCACTTCCTCTGATCTTTTCCCCCTTTGTACCATCTTCTTTCCTTTTTGACCTTTCTTTTTCCTGATCTCTCCTTCTTGGCCTCTCATGTAAATCGCCCCATCCGAATAAAAAGACTCTGCAGACTCAGGCCTGCTGGTCCCTTTCCTTTTCTTCCTGACCCGGCCCACTTCTCCCTCCAGTTCCCCCTCTGCATGTTGGTACAAGCCCGCTCCAAAACCCTTGTTTCCTCCCTGGGCCTGGTCTTCATTTGCCTGGATCGTTGGCCCTAGAGTTAGAGCTGTTTGGACAGCCCTCTCCTGCTCACCCGGGCCCAGCCCAACCCCCCTGGCCTGCCCCCCGCGTTCCAGCCCGACTCCCCTGCCCTCTCCTTCTCCTGCCAATTTTCCGCCTCCTTCGACCAGACTCAGCCCCCATTCCAGTTCTTCCGCCGCCCTCTCCAAATCGACGGAGATATCCCTTGCCCCCATCCCTTCCCTGTATCTCCCCCTTTGTCTTCCCATCATCCCATTCTCCTCCCTTTCAATTAGCCCTTCTCCCACCCTTTGCACCGTGAACCCAGGAGGAATCTGTGGAATCCCCCCCTCTGTTCCTCCCCTCGACGCGGCCATTCCACCCTCCACTGCATCGTTTCTCCTCTGCCTCATTCTACCTTCTCCCCTGTTCCCCGAGTCTACTCCCGCCTTTAGGGACGCAGTATAAACGTCGGACAGGTATGCTACTCCACTTCTCTTCCTCTCCTCATTCATTCTTCTACAAGTAGGCCAGTTATGCCCAATTCTGCCACAGAAATAGCACAGCTCCACCAACCTCTCATATTTAAAATCAATTACCTCGCAGTGCTCCACCCCTGAATGTTCATCAAGAAACGGGAAGTCGAAGCCTGTTGGGATGGGTTCCCTGATATCCACCTCGACCAGAATGCGAAGAAACCTCCTATAACCCGAATACTCCAGGCTTGCTCTGTCAATGTCCAGCAGCTCCAGGAAGTAGCTTGACCCTATTGCCACCATGTTCTCCTCGTTCCTCTGGTTTTGGTGCAAACCATGAATCTGCACCCACATAGCCATCTTCTCAATCGGGACATTTTCAGGCTTCCCCCTTCCATTATACCTCTCAATCGCCGTCAGTGTGTTGGACAAGCTCCAAGGTCTGTCCCTCCAAATCCTGTCCCTGATTTCCTCGCTACTGAAGGTAAACAGGAAAAGATTTTGGGTTTCGGTTGGTTGGATGTTCACCTCACCGTAGCTCCCCCAAGCGTATCGAGCCGCTCCTGCTGCCTTTGCCATCGCTACTCTGCTTTCTGTCAGCATCTTCCCCAGCAGCATGGACAACCCTCTTCCACCCGTCGAGGACAGAACAAGGCGCCCTCCTCTGCTCCCAGATGACGTCGGGATCATGCTCCCCCTCCTCTGGCTGCTGGTAGCTTCGATGTTGATGGATTCCATTGGTATGCACAGAGGTTTGGTTTGAGAAACAGGAACCAGAGTAGTTTGAGAAACAGAGTGTTTTCCTTCACTAAGGGTGTGTTTTGGTAGAAGCAAGAACCAGAGAGAATGGGCAGAGGTTTGGGAGATGTAAGCACAACCTTCTCTTCCCCTTTTCCGCCTCCCTTTAAAGCTGTTTCCCCTGATGTTTGCCTCGCTTCCCTCTTGAATGAGGTAGTTACCTTTCTTATCAAACCTTTCATTATTCTTCTGAAGACACTGCCTAGCTTCCCCCTGTTTTCCCCCTGTCAGTACCGCAGCACTTGGCTCAATGTTGCCACCATTTAGCTCGAGGAGGATGGCGTAGTCACAGCACAGAGATTTTGTCGTTGCTGTTGCCCTTGTCCCATTACTTCTCCCTTCTCTATTGTGGCTGTGGGATCCTTTATTGCCGTCATCTGGTGGTTCCCAAACCTCCCTCTTCTTTATATCACCTTTACTTGCTTCAACTTGTAGTCTAGTCACTGTGGGAATCTTCTCTGCCTCTTGATCTATGGTTTCTCTGTCATCTTTATGTGTAGCAGAAGGGTGGAGAAGCAGATTGATGGGTGAATTGTTCACCAGCAAGCTCTCTGCACGAGCTGGAGCAGTCCCAGCAAGGGGGACGGAAAAGGAGCCGTTGTTAGGCTCAGAGAACGTTACCGTTAGAGAGAGAGAGGAGAGATACATTTTTTTTCTCTGAAACCCTGCATCCCTGTTCCTTGCTTCACACAGTACAATAACAATACTATTACCCCCAAACCCTAATTCTTTGGTGTTGGAAAGAAAATAGGAAACAAAAGGGGAGACAACTTCATTACCCATACCACTACTTTTGTTTACTCCACCACCCTTTTCTTCTGTGTGCTTTTTTGCCTTTTCATCGTGGGTGTCGTCTTGCTGCAAAGCCAACCCTTTTTCCTTCTGGCCGGACTTTTCTTCATGTGATCAAAGGCAGTCAATAATCAATTATTGATTATCATCATTAATCCCCCCCTTGAATCTTGATTCTCCCCCCTTTCCTACCTGATTCAGCACCACCTCCTTCATTTGGGTTTGGGGGCAGGTTGTCCTAAATTGATTCCTCGTTACTTCGTCACCTTCTAAAAAATGCAACTCCAGTAAATTCATCACCTCGTTACTTCTTAACCTTCTGAAAAATGCAACTCCAGTAAATTCATCACCTTCATATGGGATCGACAGGGATGTGAAAGTGACCGGTGAGTAAGAAATGTAAGTTTGTATCGGAGGTTGTAAAAAAAAAAAAAATTACTTGTAGGTTATTTTGTACTGAGTCAATCATTTCATACCGAAAAAACTTCTAACAGTTTAGATTTGAATATGAAAAATTCTCTGATTGCACCGTTCCAATTTCCAAACACCGATGAGTAAGTAAGAGAGGCATTGAATTTTGGTGGGGACAATCCAAGTTGCTGCGGTTTCCCTTTTTTTACTAGCGTTGAAGTAGAGAAATACTCTCTTCCACGTAAAAAATCCAAAAGTACCATTGTTTAAAAAAAAAATCCAAAAATACCACCCAATCCCAAAAAATTCCAAAAATACCACCCTTTTTCAAAAACCGCCACCCCACCCAGCGGTTTACACGAAAACCGTTTGTCGGGGGCGCGGTTTTCTATGCAAACCGCGGGCCTAGGGGGCGGTTATAAAAAAAAAAATTGACCAAACCGCTGGGTGGGGTTGCGGTTTGACCCAAAACCGCCACCCCACCCAGCGGTTTGGTCCAAATTTTTTTTTTTCGATCTAACTCCTAACTTCGGCCGAAACTTCAAACGAACGTAACTTTGCACTCGGGTATCCGATTGTAGCGATTTTTTTTTTCATTTTGCATAACTTTTCAAGATCTACAACTTTTATTAGGATGAAATTTTCAAAACATGAACTATTTGTGGATATACGGGATCTTGGGAATAACTTTACCTTTACTTTTCACAAATCCATGTACATTTTGAAATTATGATTATATTAAAAGTTGTAGATCTTGAAAAGTTATGCGGAATCAAAAAAAAATGCATGACATTCGGATTTTGGAGCACAAAGTTATGGCTGCCCAAAGTTTGACGAAATAAAAAAAGGCTCGTTCGGGGTGGCAAATGACGTTTTTTCGAGACGAAGGCGGGACCCATTAGTTTGCGGCTTGCAAGATCTCAAAAAGCTATTCGGATTCAAAAAATGGAGGCCGCAAACTTTTTGAGATCTTGCAAGCCGCATACCGCCGGGTCTCGCATTTCGTCAAACTTTGGACGGTCATAACTTTGTGATCCTAAATCCGAATGTTATGAATTTTTTTTTATTCTGCATAACTTTTCAAGATCTACAACTTTTAATATAATCATAATTTCAAAATGTACATGGATTTGTGAAAAGTAAAGGTAAAGTTATTCTCAAGGTCCCGTATATCCACAAATAGTTCCTGTTTTGAAAATTTCATCCTACTAAAAGTTGTAGATCTTGAAAAGTTATGCGAAATGAAAAAAAAATTGCATCGATCGGATACCCGAGTGCAAAGTTACGTTCGTTTGAAATTTCGGCCGAATTTAGGAGTTGATCGAAAAAAGAAAAAAAAAATTTGGACCAAACCGCTGGGTGGGGTGGCGGTTTGGGTCAAACCGCCACCCCACCCAGCGGTTTGGTCAATTTTTTTTTTTTTTTATAACCGCCCCCTAGGCCCGCGGTTTGCATAGAAAACCGCGCCCCCGACAAACGGTTTTCGTGTAAACCGCTGGGTGGGATGGCGGTTTTTGAAAAAGGGTGGTATTTTTGGAATTTTTTGGGATTGGGTGGTATTTTTAGAATTTTTTTTTTAAACAGTGGTACTTTTGGATTTTTTCCCTCTTCCACTCCAGTGACTCCACTATCCTTTTCCGTAGCTGGATCTCACCTTCCATCATTCATTTCCATTTTACAACAATATAATAATTTCATTTTCCACGTCAATATATATAGTAAATTATAGTCACCATAAAGTTAAAACTGTGCCGGTCCGTACAATTTAATTTGTCTTAAAATTCTCTTTTACACACTATAAACTCGCAGTCAAATAATTTAAGGGTGGGATTTTGGATGATGTATTTAACCAATACATATAATCAAAACAATTTATCATTTTTTTTGTTGTCTTAAACTGAAATATAATACTTGTATTTGAACTGCAGATGGGACCACCACAATCATTTATTATGATTGTGTTTGAGGGATTGTTAACTCTCTTTTTCTTCCTTATTTTTCAAATTCATACATTGATGAAACAATGCATCTAATTATAATACATACATTGATTAAATACATCAATTTAAAGAATTATGTATTTGATAAAAAAGATTTGTTTGTTGAGGTATACAAATTCGTGGGGTCCACGGATTTGAACTTTTTTTGCAAATACCACATTACATTTTGTATTTGGTCATGAAAGGTAAGGATTTGAGACCCAAGGTACAAAAATCTTTAAATTCATAATCAAAATCAACTAGACAAACAATAATATCTTGCAAATACAAAATGAACTAAATCCATCGTAAATCCATAAATTTTCAAACTAAAAACTTTAGTAAGCAAACGAGAAACGTGTTTTGTCAACAGAAAAATCTAAATTTGTTATCACAAAGAAAAAGGGACTAAAACGTTGAAAGGCTTGCAGCCCGTGGGCTTCACAAAAGATTTGAGGAATATTGTCCATCGCCAGCAGGCCCGCTGGCCAGGGCAGACGCTTACTGGGCCTCGGCCTTAATTAAACACAACGAGGCCCGACATTCTGCTACAAACAATTAGAGACGCAATCCTGACCAAATCACCAAAACCAACAAATCACTCAATCAGACATGCGGGAAGCTTTATAATTATCTTGTAGTCTATTGGTAGCTAATCTAACTTTAAAAATCCTCTTCTAGCCGAGATGGTGAGATTGCTCTGTCTGAATTATGTGGTCAGAGGTTCGATCCCCATCTCCCACTATATATAGTCAATGAAAAATTGTTATTTTATTTTGAACCAAATTCAGTAGATCCCTAAAAAAAAAAAATGCTCGATGCTCTCCCCTCTCTCCTCTTTCGTTGGAGAGAAGTCGGAGACTTGGTGTTCGCCCTGATGCTGCTATTGGCTACCTCTGGCATGTGGATCCATCGACAGGGAATTGATTGGGGATTCATAAATAAGGATCCTCGTCAAACCGAAGCGGAGCAGCTCAGCGAAGGAGACGGTAATGCCGCTCGGCCTTCGTCGGACCAGCATGCTGGTAAATTTCAGGGGGTGGGCATAAGGCTACTATCCCCCTCCATTCGAATCGCTAACCTCTCCGGAGGAAGGTTGGTTGACGGTGGTTGTGCGATCCTCATGTTCTGTGTGCGGAATCAAAAGCGATGGCGTGAGGATTGGGCTGAAAACAGCTCAAAGTGGGCGGAATATCCGCCACTGATTAAAATATTTCTGGGGAAGATGGATCAATTTCATCCCCCATGCCGGGATTGGGCTCGAGGTCGTGCCTGTGTCCGGCGGTCTGGCCATGGTGTCAGTTTTCAATGCCGTCCCAAAGGTAGGAATGGCAAACGAAGCCATGATGCTTCTCAAGAGTCAATCGAGAATTATAGCGAAGGGTTGATCAAAAGGAGACGCCGGACGAAAGGGAGTGGATGGCGTTTCTCTCTTCCTAATTCGTGCGAGTTTGAGTATGGAAATATGGAAATGGCGACCTGTAAGCTGCTGCCGTGGACTCGTGATGGGTTGAGCATGGCTACAATTAAGAAGCAGCAGGTTCGGACCTCGGCGATGAATCGTGATCCCTCGACCGGTGATCGGCCGCAGCATCCGCCGGTGGGCTCCTGCCGTGAGTCTGGTGGGGACGTTTTTCCCCAGGATATCAATCCCAAAATTCTCGGGCCGTCCCGTATCCTTCCTGATTGGGTGGTTACGCGTGATGAGAGTCCCAATTCAGATTGTTACCTAACAGACCTAAGTCAAGTTGGAGTGGGACACTCAGGGAATGCCTGGTCCAAGGCATTTAAATATCTCTTCTCGGGAAGGCTTCTCTTCCAAGTGTGTAGCATCAAGCCCCCGAGGAGGAAGAGTACTGCCCGAGTGAGTCCCTCTCCAGGTATTTGCTCCCACCTTCCCTCTCCTTTTCCCCTTAAGTTTGATGGCTTGGCGTTTTCTATGGCCTTGGCGGCGACAACCAAGCAGCCTACGTGTATGGGCTTCTCTCGCCCAATGAGTCCGGCGCCAATTAAGGTGAACCGGCTCGATACTAATATGCCTACTGTCCCAGGTCATCCAGAGTGCAAGATGGCTCATGCTTCTGCGGATCAAGTTGTGGAATTCTCATTAGATGAAGTTCAATCGTCCAAGTATCGATCGACGCACTCGCTGCTGGGCCGTCTGTTCACCAACAAACGGATTTCCACCATGGAAATTCGGGATGCTGTTATCAAACATTGGAAAGTGAAAGGAACCTTGAGGGTGATGCTGACCAAACAAGGTTTACTGGATTTTTCTCTTCCGTCCGAAGAGACGAAGGCATGGGTTCTTCAACGAACTCCATGTGTGGTTAATGACTCGATTCTACACTTGCGGCCATGGACGCAGAATATCTCGAGGAATGTCTTTACTGACCTGGCCATGGTGCCTCTGCGTGTGCAAATGTGGAATGTCAGGGAGGAAAGCTGCACGCCAAAATTCGGCAGGAAAATGGCCGAGAACAAGCTTGGCCAGGTGATTGAAGCGGGGATTTTTGCCAGCCATGAAACTGGGGAGCGCTTTGTGAAGGTGAGAGCGATGCTTGACCTCACCAAGCCGTTGCGATCGCAAGTTTTGGCGGCCATTGATGTGAATGTGCGCTTCTGGGTTTCGCTGAAGTACGAATACCTTCCGTCCTTCTGCTTCAAGTGTGGCCGATTAGGGCATTTCATCAATGAATGTACCTTTGATCCGCCGGCTGGCCAGGAGAAATTTGGCCCTCACATGTCCACCAAGAAATTGGGTGTTCGCGTGTATGAATCGGAGGATGAAATTCAGCAATTTCGTGGTAATTCGAAATCAGTGTGGGTTAATAAGGCGCTGGGAGGAGGGTCTGATCAGCCGAAGAAGAAACAGCCTGGATCGCAGATGGACCAGCTGGAAATTGCGGCCCCCCAGTCTGATCCGCAGGCCAGGCCCAGCCCAACTGAAGGGGGAAGTCGGCAGGCCCAAGGGCACAGGCATAGAAGCCCGCGCGGCTTCCAAATGAGGCGATCGCCGCGGGCCCGTTCTGTCCGCCAGCCCAGCCATCATTTGCCGTCGCAAAATCGTGTTGGCACGCGGCGGGCCGAACAGGGTGGTGTCGTAGGCCCGAAGCGAGACAAGGGAGGTCGGGTTAAGCCTCAGCCCATATCTTCTGCAGCCAAAATGAAGAGGGGGGTTTCGGCCCGGCCCAGGAAGAAGGACGCGCGGCAGGGGGCCCAAAATCACTGGGTGCAGTCGAGCCCAATTCCTAGACCTCGGCGCCGGCTGGTTTTGGCAGACTCAGATGCGGAAGTAGAGGGGCCGGCGCAGATCCCCAACCGATCAGCAAGGGGAGATGCTGTCGAAAACTTTTAGGCGCCGTCTCATTAAGGCCGCGACGCTTCCTCCAGGGAAACTGGACGATGACCTTGGGGCGCACAGTGAAGGTGCTGGTGATGAACTAATGGATCCCTCTTCTGATGAGGATGTTTCCCAATTTATGATTACCTCTCAGGCCCCTAAGGAAACAACCCCCCAGACTATTCGGGGAATGAAGGGCCGGGTCCAGCAAGTAGTTGCTACTTTTGAAGCCGGGCTACATAGGATGCCAGAGGAGGCTGCTATAAAGAGCACAGGCATGGACCCGGATCTGATTCAAGGGATGAAAGCATGGGAGGATGATGGTGATGGCCATGACGGGGGTCAATTCGATGAATATGGGTCCAATCTTGCTGACCCAGTTATTGATAATCGCAAGCGCCCGCTGGGCGAGGTTGAAGGGGAGCTGGGAGTGGAGCCCAGTCCTAAAAAACAATTTGTGGAGGAGGATGCTAATCAGGTGGAGGTAGCCAGCCAAAAATGGCCCCAACCCGATAAATGAAGCTCCTCGCGTGGAATGTGAGAGGAATTGGGCCGTCCCTCACATTTCAAACTGCTGTCGGTTTAGTTCGTTCTAATAAACCGGACCTTGTTTTCTTTTCGGAAACAAGAGCGCGCCGGAGTGTTGTTTCCCGTCGTATGCGGGGGTTAGGTTTTGATAATTCCCATTGTTTTTTT